TAGGGTTTAGGGTTTAGGGTTTAGGGTTTAGGGTTTAGGGTTTAGGGTTTAGGGTTTAGGGTTTAGGGTTTTAGGGGCTATATTGGATTAGGGTCGTTCAGCTTCCGTGTCGGTCAGCAAGCTGCCATGCGCCTCTTTTGCTGCGGCCGCTCTTATTGGGTCTGGCCACATAGGGAGATTTGCGAACTTTCGCTATGAAACCTAGGCAGCCCAACCCTGTGCCCTCTAAACCCTAAACCCTATGAACCCTGAACTCTGAACCCTGAACTCTGAATCTAGACCCTAAACCCTAAGCCCTAAACCCTAAACCCTAAACCCGAAACTAAACCCTACCCTAAACGTCGCTCTCTGCCCTCAAGGCATCCGCAACACTCCTCCAGGACGGAGTGCAGATCGCCGAGTAGTTCGAGTTGCAGAAGCTCTTCAGGGTCCACCTGGCAAGCATCAAAGGGTTTAGGGTTTAGGGTTTAGGGTTTGGGGTTTAGGGTTTAGGGGTACCCTCTTAAGGGTGCAGGGTTTTTAGGGTTCAAGGGACTAAAGGAGGGACGGGGTGATTTAGGGACTAGGTATATAGGGACTCTATAACATAAGGGAATAAGATTAATTAAGGGTCCCTTCTAGGGGTCCCTCCTTATACCCCTCTCCTGCTGTCGACCCTGTATTCGGCGTCCTGCAATACGCTTGTTTGGGGTCCAGGGTTTATGATGCGGGGGGTCAAACGCCGGCACTGAGCCCTAAGTCCTAAAAGCCGTAAAATTGTACCTCGAGCTCTCAAGGCGTCTTTGCGCCTCGCATCCCCTTTAGGGTTTGGGACTTAGGGTCTGCAGTTGACATTGAGTGTTTCGGGATTGAGTACATGGGCACTGAAGCTACCTTCTACCAAGCGTGGCAACATGACCCGTTCCGAGGCTTGCAGATGATGTTGCACATCCTGTACCTGAGAGCGTTTGGGCTTCAGGGTGGGGTTTCATAGGGTAGAAAGGGTTTAGGCAGGGTTTAAACCCTAAACCCTAAACCCTAAACCCTAAACCCCAAGGAAGTTTAGGGCTCAGGGTCGAGAGGTTGAAGTTCAGGCAGGCAGGGCCCCAGTCAGCAACTGTTCGAGGGCTGCTTTGGGGAATATCATGTCAAGCCCTACTCTCCCCTCCCTCCCCACTCCCCATGGAGTTTATAGGGTTTAGGGTTTAGGGTTGAGGGTTTGGGGTCTCTCTCTCTCTCTCTCCCTCCCCTAGACATGAATGTATATATGTATGTATCGACGTCTGGGTTTTCGCATAGCCTGACTCTGAAACTTGGGCTGCATTCCACATCCCAGGTAATTTCCTCTGAGAAGCCATCAGACGCCACAGCTTCTCAGCAATCAGTTCGGTGTGTGTAATGGTTGTTGTCAGGGTTTGGGGTTTACAGGGTTCGTGTCTAATGGTTTTGAGGTTTGGGCTTAGGGCTCGGAGCTTAGGGTTTAGGGTTTAGGGTTTAGGGCTTGGGGTTTTGCATGCGCGCGCTTGTTATACACCCTTCTCCCCCTATAGATACCGTTTCTTGCCGTAGGGCTCCTTGTATCTAAGCCCCCTGTCAGCTGCCTGCTCTGTTTCACTGCAGTACGTGCACCCATACAAATGCACAAAAGGCCCCCGATATGAACGGCTGTCCCACGTAGGGTTTAGGGTGATTCGGTGAGAAGCCAGCTTCAAACCTCAAAGTTCAGAACCCTTATAGAGTTATAGGGTCTAGAATTTAGGGATTAGGAAGTTCAACCTACAGCCTGCGTCTGCCAGTAACACCCCTGAACCTTGGCGAAACACCCGCCCACCCTCAGGGGGTTTGTGAGCCTATTAGGGCATGGGGAAAATTTGACAGGCCTGGTAGCCTCAAACACGCAGCCCTCAACCCTCTCAAAGCTCTGAGCAGCCTGCCTCTCCTGGAGCAGAGCCGGGGCTCGTTCCGTCATGGCGCTGAGGCACGTCGGGCAGGCGCACAGAGCTTCGGGATAACAGTGGGCTTTCAGAGAGAAGGAAGGGTCTGGTTCCCCAACGTAGGCATGATGTCCCTGCTGCTTCATTGAAGCAAGACCAGTCGTGGATTCTCTCTAGCTAAACGCCCAGTCGGGTACATCAGATGTATATTGTTGATGTAGCTAGACCTGTCCACGTTTTCCGCTTCTGTGGGTGGGGGGAAGGTAGGTCTGCAAACATGCTTAGCAACTTGTACCTTGCCGTAAGTCACGCTTACCAGTGCATTCGGAGTCTGTCTGTCCTGCTCATTGTCGCGCACTTGCGCAGTCGTTCACTTCAGGTCACCGACTGTCAGCTCCGGGCAGCAGACGCACAACATGCAACTTAGTTGCTAAGTTCATAAGCCCCCAAAAAGTGTACACTTCCAGTTTTATAGGGGATTCTAGTATCCCAAAATGTGTAAAGTGTGCTCACTCAGCTACCAAGGCACATAACGTAGCACCACTGCATCATGCCAGTAAGTAACAGAAGCAAATTTAAGTCTCAAGGTCATGACCATGTTTTTGCGGTCGGGCGTATGTAGGTCTGTGTCTAAACCCCACGAGAAGGGCCAACGTTACAATACTCACTCTTGTTAAAGGACTTTGGTGCTTTCTCCTAAGGCCCGAAACCCCAAAAAACTGAACGCTCATAACTTGTAGCCTACTGCGAAAGCCTAAAAACCCTAGACCCTAAACCCTAAACCCCTAAACCCTAAACCCTAAACCCTAAACCCTAAAACCTAAATGGAGGGGGGAGGCCACCCGGCAACCGTCTTCTATAGGCTGGCGCTGGAACCCATGAGGTACGTACTTGGGCCTTGTGAAGGGGTTCCTTTTGAGTAGTCTTATAGGGCCTGCAGGTCGAAACTAAACAAAGGGCACAGGACTCTTGGGGTAAGAAGAAGCCCCCCCTAAACCCTAAACCCTAGGAATAAGAAGAAAGTTGAGCTGCCTTTATGTAGGCCGCCGAAGAATCCTAGAAGGTGTTCTACAGATCAAAACCAAGCGAAAAGTAGGTTTGTTGCAGCTCGCATGTCAACGTTGAAGGTACATGATGCAACGGCCTTTGGCGATGTCCCCTGTTCCGCGCATGAGAGATTAGGCCTTGCTTGCTGTGGAGTTCACATGATCAGGAACAGCCCAGTATGACCAATTAAGGCGGGCGTGCATGCACAGTAGGCAAACACGGTGCATGACAGTCGCGTAGAGCGAGAGTTGCCCTCAGGCGCTCAGCCAGTGATCTTCAGGTGACAAAAGTCAACCCGCCCTAAACCCGAAACCCTATAAACCCGAAACCCGAAATCAAGCACTTCATGTGGGCCCCTTTGTCTTTCAAGACCACGACGCCCGGGAAGGATCTGACCTGCCCATGCGCTTCCACGGAGCTTGGGAAAACCGTGCAGAAAGCCCCAGGAAGCACTGAAGCCACAAACCGCTGAGCACTTTTAAGCGCTAAAGCCCTAAAAGCTTATAAGCCCTTAAACCCTGAGGCCGTAAGACCCTTATCCATGAGCCTCTGAACGCTCTACCCTTAAACCCATAAGCCCTACGTAATGCCTAAACCGCCAGCTGGCCTTATCAGTGGCCCCTGAAGGCAACAAGCCTGTTCAAGCCCTTAAGACCTTAAAGCCTGAAGCCTAATAACACCCTCAAACACTTAAGACCTAATCCCCTCCCCTTCTATAATTATCATACAAGGACATATAAATATCTCAAGTCACAAATTTGGGGCCCTTCAAAAACTCTGCTTATATCCCTTGGGGAGAAGGGGGAAAGGGCGGGGGGGCGGGGGGCTGTAGTTTAAACCTCGAGTGCCCGACTCCACAGCTCTTACCTCAGCACCCATGAGAATCTTCAGCGCAGGGTGGTCCACGTAACGCTGGCTGTTCTTAGTAGGGAATGAGGGAATGAGGGACCCTATAGAATCCTAAACGGTATATATAGCGCCCTCACTCCCTCATTCCCTAATTGCTAAGAACCAGGGGGAAGAATTCCTCGACTTTCGAGTTTAAGGGTTCGGGGGGCTCGGGTTTTTCGTGCTTGGGGGTGAGAAGTAGCCCCGACTTAACCCGAACCCCTAAACCCCTAAACCCTAAACCCTAAACCCTAAACCCTAAACCCTAAACCCTAAACCCCTAAACCCCTAAACCCCTAAACCCCTAAACCCCTAAACCCTAAACCCTAAATCAGTACCCTGAACCCATGTCAAAGCTGCGCCCGTCCCCGAATCCTACGGTCGGCACGAAGAGAGAGAGAGAGAGAGAGAGAGAGAGAGAGAGAGAGAGACACAGACTTCATTTCATCTACTCCCCCCATAACACACGAGACCCCTAAACTCTACCCCCGGGTTCTTAGTAGGGAATGAGTCAGGGAATTTCCCGTTAAGGGAGTATATAGGGCGCCTCATTCCCTCGTTCCCGACTAAGAACTAAATCCCTAAAGCCTTAAATTCCTTGAAGGCCTACACTGCTTCAAGGTCTTCCGATCTCTTTAGGACGAATCCCAAGCACAAGCTCACGCGGCGACCTAGGTTTTAGGGCTTTAGGTTTTTCGGGTTGAGGGTGTAGGGTTTCTGGCCTCAGGGAGGACATGTCGGGGCAGAAAGGGAAAGGAGAGTACAAGGGCCCTCTTAAACTCACCCGCCTTAAGGACCCTATCACGTGTGTACGATACTTCTGTTCGGCGTGCCTTTCTCCTCCTACCCGCCAGTCCATGTTGGCTTGAACCACCGAAACCTTTGGTGTAAGATCGGCTTCGGGACCGTCCTCGTGGAGTGAGGGTCTCCGCCTTGTCCACCTTGCTGAAGATCTTCTTCCAGTAAACGTACTCGAGATACTCATTGAAAGGCCCCATAGATGGGGTCCACCACTCTGTTGCCGCCTCAAAGATGTAACGATTTATCAATCTGAAGTTCAGGACTTTTCGTGAAACCTGCCGCAACTTCCTAAAGCTTAGCAGATAATCCTCCCGCTTTGTGGCAGGCAAGGCTTGCAAATCCTCCCGAAGATCACGACCGAATGTCGAACTCTGCCAGTGCCGCAGTTTTTTTCACCACATGCGTAAAGAATTGAAAGCACTCCTCCCGGATACCTGCGTCGAACGAGCCAGAGCTTGCAAATACTGAAACATTGCTGCTCAATGGAAATCTGCTGGAGAGTCGCCATACGATGGCTTCAAGCAGTATTCCTGAGGGCCTCTCACCACGAAAAAAGTTCTTGATTCCTATAACGGCAGCTGCAGCTGCAGGCGTTTGCTCGAGAAATTCGTTGATGCGAGCAGAATTCGCGCAGAAGTCATCCCCTCCGCGAAGCCTTGGAAACTGTTCTGGACGCTTCCTGAAGAGTACAAGGTCCACATGTGTAAGGGTCCCCGACTCGAGATTGCCCAAATCAAACTTGACGGCCACATTTCCAATTGCAACCTTTCCTACAAACGGAAGTGTTTGTAAGTTTTGTGCAACTTTGAGCTTGTCTTCCTCCATGAACTCTTCGTCTGCGCGCTCGCCAGTTCGCCTGACCTGCATGTCCAAGTCGGAGTCTTCGTCAAAAGCCGTGTTTCTCGTCAAGGATCCGACCAACTCCACAACGATATCAGTGCCTAGAGCATGCTTGCATGCATCCACCAGCTCATCGCACGCGCGTCTGCTCAACAGGCCTTCTCGAACTGTTTGCATGTCATGCTGAATAGACCTGATGAAAAGAAAGTTCAGCTCATCCTGGGAATCCATGAATAACTTTTTTCTGGTCTCTGTGGGCAGAGCAGACCAGTTCTGTCCGGCCATGTCACGCACTGCCTGAACCTGTGGTTCTCTCGACAACTCGTTCAGGACATAAATTGTTGTGCTGTTAGAGGTTTTACGCCATTGCTCTGTAGACATGTCGTGCACTGCCTTCACCATGGGATGCTTCCAATCCGGGAGGGAAAATAGTATCAAGCCTTTTGGGCGTGTGCATGGGCAACATAGGAACAGCAAGCAGGATGTCGCCAGGCAGAGAACTGGACATCGGGATCGCCGCAGCTTGGCCACCGCTGGCCGCATGGGCTCTCTCACTGCGCCACAGCTTCAACGGCCCCGCCAGTCATTGCCCCCCCAGGCCCGAAGCCTGATTCGCACCTCAGTAGTGGGCCTAGCGCCCATACGAGCCAAAGGCGCGGCTCGAGGTTGTTCGTGGGCTTTGGTGGTTCGGATTCTTTCTTCCACTCCAAAACCCCTCTCAACCGTTTCAGGAGGCTTAGCATGAACCTCCGCGCTCCCACACAAGCCGGCAAGCCTCAAGCCTGTAAACTTATGCCCTGAATTCTAACTCACCCTAAGCTTGTCATTGAAAACCCTGAGCCCTAAACCCCTAGATCAGCCTAAACAACTTGATGTTGAAAATAAACTTAACTCCGAACTCCGTTCTCCCTGCATTGAAATTGGATACCCTCAGCCCCAAACAGCAGCGAAAGGCCCTACGACTCTACTTCACAAGCTTGTCTTCAACCCTTCTGTAGGTTGTAAGCTAGAACTGTAAGGTGTTGTGGCTGTGAGAAGGAGCCCAAGAGTGTCCAAAGAGCGAAGAGCACTCGGAAAGGAAGCCGTGGACCCGGTACTTCCCAAACCCAAATACATCCTGGGCATATGTTGAGGGTTTAGGGTTTAGGGTTTAGGGTTTAAGGTTTAAGGTTTAGGGTTTAGAGGGGGGGGAAGCCCCTAAAGCCTCTGAAGCCCGAAATTCCCAAAACTGAAGCCTAAATCCTAAACCCTCAAACACCTAAACCCTAAGCCCTAAACGCTAAACCCTAAACCCTAAACTAAGCCTACATTAGACCCAATACAGCTCGGCCTTTGCGTTCCTGCCGAATGAGGCGTTAAACGGCACATTGACTGCTTTCTCCCTGCACGGGGCGGACAAAGGGTTACGGCATCTATAGGGCTTAGTAGTAGTAGTAGTAGTAGTAGTAGTAGTAGTAGTAGTAGTAGTAGTAGTAGTAGTAGTAGTAGTAGTAGTAGCAGTAGTAGTAGTAGTAGTAGTAGCAGCAGCAGTAGTAGTAGTAGGAGTAGTGTTTGTAGGGCTACTAGGGCTTCGGGTCTTGCTTTAAGGTTGGGGTTTGTAGGGACCTAGAACCACTTCATAAGGCAACCCAAGAACCAAGTCAGGCTGCGGATGTCTTAGCCTGTGGGCTCTTGCGGGCTCTGAGTCCGCATTTCTGCCAATGCTATGCTACAGCCCCAACGAAAACTGGAAATACATAGCCCTAAACCCTAA